TCTAATTCTCGGTCTTTTCCCTTGCCATATAAATTTCGAAAGAGTTTTTTTGCCAATCTTTAAACATTGAGGAACCTCTGATCACTGGGATGTTTTGGAACAAAAATATCATTCTTGGGAGTATGTTCATTTTTATTGCCACCATCCTTCCCGCCCACGAAAGTTTTACTCTGTTCCGCGTATCTAGATCTTTTTTAATCTCCTTCCATGTTGTGGAATAATTATCCTGAATTAGATTTATGTTTTTTGTGGTTAGCCAAATTCCCAAATATTTTATTTTTTTAGCCACCTTGATTCCATTCTGTATCTCCAGTTTTTCTCTTTCATCTTTTCCCAAATTTTTAGTCAACATTTTTGTCTTTAATTTGTTTAATTTAAAACCGGATAGTTTGCCATATTCTTCTAATAACTCCAAGGCCTTACTAACACTTTTCTGCGGTTCTTCTAGGGATAGCATCAGATCATCTGCGTATGCTTTTAGTTTGTATTCCTTCGTTCCAACTTTGATCCCTCGAATCTCTTATCTTGTTCGTTATTACCTCTAATGCCATAATGAATAAAAGCGGGGATAGAGGGCATCCCTGTCTTGTTCCTTTTTCAATTTTGAATGAATTTGTTAGATTATTGTTTATAATCAGTTTAGCAGATTGGTTCGAATAAATCGATTTTATTCCTTCCATAAATTCGCCCTCTAGCCCTGCTTTCTCCATACTTTTTAATAAGAACAGCCATGAGACATTGTCGAATGCCTTCTCTGCATCGATGAAAAACAATTCTAAATATTGTTAAATTTGTCTGGGGCAAGTCTACCTTTACACATGATTTGTTCTAGTTACAGGTAGGTAGCCGTGTTGGTCTGCCGTAGTCAAAACAAAACAAAATAGATAAAATAAATTTAAAAAAAAAATAAATCCTTCCAGTAGCACCTTAGAGACCAACTAAGTTAGTTATTGGTATGAGCTTTTGTGTGCATGCACACTTCTTCAGATACACATGTGTTATTTTATATGGCTAAGCAGACTTTCCCTCCTCCTTCTCCTCCTCCTCCAGGCTGCGTCTGGCTCGAATGAACGAAGAGATGCGAGAAGCCGAGGGCCCGTTTGGTCATCCAGGTCAATATCCGAACAACAGCCCCACAGAGCTCCAGTACAGGAAGTGTATACAGGAGTTCATCAGCCTTAACATAGATGAGTGTTAGTGACGACTCCCGCAACCCTGATGCCTCCTCTTCCTCCTCCTCCTCCTCCTCCTCTTTTGGGTCAAAATTTAAGGATGCTGACTGAGCCCAGGAAAGAAGGAAACAAAACAAAACTGTAGACGTGTCTTGTGGTGGGGGGAGGGGGGATGTTTGGCAACTGGGGGGCGGGGGGCTTGCTGGTGGAAGTTTTCCATTCCAAAAGCCCATGGGTGGGTTTGCCCCGATGGCCACGCAGAAGGAGGAAGAGAGATAGAGAGAGACACTGAGAGAGGGGATACAGGCAAAGAACCCTTAAAATGAAATATATGTGTAAAATCTTCACCTCTGGTCCCAGAAATGGGGAGGGTTCTGGTTTTTAAGGTACGCAAACTTTGGGTGGATCAGGGCCAGAACACCCGTTCTGCCTTGCGGGCTTTGCAGGATCACGTCCACGCCACAGAGCACCTTTTAATGCACATTAAAAGCACGCAGCTTTTCCCTGAAGAACCCTGGGAACTGTAGCTTGTTTAAGGGTGCTATGGAGTGTAGCTCTTTGAGGGGTCAACTACAGTTCCCAAGATTCTATGGGGAGGAGCCCTGTGCTTAAAGTGCATGATGTGGGTCAGCCCTAAGAGCGCAAGAAGCGCCTCTCACCCACTTTTCCAACAGTTTGATTGCTGTTTTTAAACCCCCGTTGCCAGGAATTAAAAGCAAGGTTCGGAGGAGAGAGGCTTTTGCAGAGAGAAGAGGGAATTGTACATATAGGTGAAAAGGGAGCCGAGATTTGGGACTTGAAAGGGGCATATTCCTCTCTCTCTCTCTCTCTCTTATCTCTTGCTCTTCCCAGTGGCATTAGCCATCAACCTGTGATGTATCTTTCAGATGGTTTGGAGTGCCGATCACACACACATATGAAAAGCTCAGCCAGTTGGTTTGGGCTGGAAACGCAAAATCCTGGCCCACTTAACGTACAGAGCAGGTGTTGACGGGGGTTTGGTGGGGCGATCGGCAGGTCTGTTTGCTGTGCCCTTTTTGCATGTGCTACAGTTCTTTGGATTGAGAGGCATGGCTGCCCACCTTACATGCTCTCAGGTTAATGCCAGCAAAGGCTTCCTCTGGTTTTTGCTTTGTTTTGTTTTGAGGTGGTTTTTTTTCCCTGTCTGTGTATGGAATATTTAACAGGGAGGTAAGCTTAGCTGGTCAAAGCCATAACTCAGCCGCTTCCAAGATGAGGACACGATCCTTGAAGGGCGAAGGCAAATGTAACATACATGAGAAGAGTGTGTGGAAGCATCGTCGCCATGGGTTGTGTCCACTGTTAGCCTTACTCAGAGTAGATCTATTGGATTGAACAGGCACAACTAATTTAGGTCTATTAATTCCGGTGGGTCCACTCTGGCTAGGATTTAGTTGGATGCAACCTATGTTTGGTGCAAATTGTACCCTCATCTCTTTTTCAGGATCAAACTCTGGGGATGAGGCAGGGAGAATGCTGCCCCTTTCTGGCCAATAAAATAAAATAAAAATCAGTTGTGGGGTGGCATCAGTTGGCTACTATCTGCGTCGTGAATGAGACGCCTTCAATCCTGGTCCAAAAGGCAGTTTTGTAACTGTTGTTGTTTTTTAAATGCCTCTTTATAGAGGATTGGCGGTGTGAATGAATAAATTAAGGGTGGCCAGTTGTTAGTCATACTGCAAAATATCTTTGGCCCAGTTCTCACTGCGGTTGTTAACTTGTGTCTGGGCTGTACCACTCCTGATGATAGGTGGGGGCTCATGTAATGGAATTTTTCTCCATATCAAAGCAAATGCCCTACACAAGGAAGACTAGCATGTCGGTGTGGTTTCTAGCCCAACTTTCTTCCTGATGTGCTAACTCTCTGTGTACAGGGTGATTATTGTTATTATTATTTTGTAAAGTGTGCCTCAATTTATTTATTTTAAATGGCCCACAAGGTGTGCAACCTTCCTGACGGTCATGGAGTAGAGAAAAAACAGACAGCTAACTTTGCACCCACTGTTGCGAATAGAGGAGTAGCAACCCCCACCACGATTTCTCTTGAAATAGTACATCTGTCTTCACCTTTCGGATGTTACACCTGTCCTCACCTGTAGACTTGCCAAAAGTGGTGAGGCTTGGAAGAAGATGCTCATCGCCGGCGATGAGTTTTTGATTTTTGATTTTTTTTTTAGGAAGACAAAAAAACACACAGACACATACCCAGGGAGAATTGTAAAGTCACTCCTAGCTAGCCTTCTGAGGCAACAGTTAACTGGAGCACATAAGGGGGTGGGTGGGTTTATATTCCTAAATCATGATGGATTTCCTACTTAACAATTCCAGAGAAAGAGGACTTCTCCTTTGCATGCTCGCCCTTACAAAGACTGTGATCCTTCCTCTCCCTGATGCATGTCCGCAGAGGGCTCAGCAATTCCAGATTTCTTGGATTCTGGGATACGGGGTGTTCGGGGTGGGGTGGGGCAGGGTGGGGTGTGGTGGGGAGGGTTAGGTTATTTATTATGCTTTTTTTCTGGAGCAGGACCTGTTCTTACTCTCCCGAGTAACCCTTGGGGTTGTTGTTTTTTTTACGGTCTCTGTCAGGAGACAGACCGGGATTTTACTTTAGACTTAGGAGTAGGATAACTTTTCTTGACGATCATGTGTAAAATATGAAGCAGCGGCTGGCCCAGGCACTGCCTTGGGGCGGTAGGGGGAGTTGTCCTCCCCAAAGCGAAAGAATCCTACAATGTTCCCAGTGTCATTACCTCCTGTTCAAGGGTTAGGTGGCTTGCGGATGAGCGAGCAAATTTTGCTGGTCGTCTCTCTCTCCACCCTCTCCACTGGTGATTCAGATACATCTCCCATCCCATCTCCTGCCTAGATTGCCCTTCTCCCTGCCAACCTCATATACACCTGCTTAAGGAGCTGAGGCAGATGATTTTTGCCTCTGCTAACACTTTCCCAATGATCTCCACTGAGGTACCAGTCTCTTGGGGTGGTGCAAAAGGCTACAGATGCATGCAATTCTCACTCGAGAGTTTTGGGGAAGGTTTGGGGCAGGGGAGGCGAAAGTGTGAGCTTTAAGCCTGGAGTGAGGGGAGAGAAATTCGAATGGACTTTGTGCTGAAAGGCGACTCTACCTAAATTTGAACCGAAACACAGCCGTGCTTTGAAATTTGCACTTCTACAAATTTGGCATGGCAGTTTCCCACAGTGGAATTGCATGCAAGGAGAAAATCACTCTTAAAGGCTGGCGATTTTTCATTGGGGCTTTTAAAAAAACAGGGAGGGCAAGTACTTGTCCCCAGTTTTTCCACCAGGCCTGGCCATTCCAGAGATGTTCTGTTGCCTTCCAATCACAAGGGCTGATGTTCAAACATCAAGCTTGCACCCAAATCCTCTCACACAAGCCCTAAAGCCACAAGTGTTCCGGGTTGCCAATTGCTCTCTGCGGTTCTGTCCCCTACTGCCTAACCTAGGAAGCTGCTTTGTACTGCATCAGACTGGCAAGACTCTCTAGGGTTTCAGAAACGGCTCCCTTTCACCTTAAATAATAATAAAAATAATTTATGCCCTGCCCATCTGAATGGGTTTCCCCAGCTGCTCTGGGCGGCCTCTAGCGTAATAAAAACACAACGTAACGTCAAATATTAAAAATTTCCCAATACAGGACTGCCTTCGGATTTCTTTGGAAAGTTGTGCAGTTGTTTATCTGTTTGACATCTGATGGGAGGGCGTTCCACAGGGCAGGTGCCACTATCGAGAAGGCCCTGTGCCTGGTTCCCTGTAACTTCACTTCTCGCCCTTCACTCCTCCTTTACCTGCAGATGGCAGGGATTGAACCTGGGACCTCGTGCACACAAGGCAGATTCTCTGTGACTGAGCCACAGCCCTTCCCCTAGGATAGGGGAACATAGGAATAACATAGCTAGATGCATTGACGCTGAGCTGCAGCCCTTCCTCTCTGACAGCCATGTGACTCTTCCTGAAGCCCCACCCTCTTCCTCATGCCCCAGACCTCCGCACAACATTCCTGCTCAGGTCAGCCCCACGGTTCTCCTGCCTTTTGCCTCACCTTCTGTGACCTCAGGTCAGCCTGGGGGATGCAGTTAATCTGCTTAGCTGCCTCTCTCTGCCATGACGCAACCCCTGGTGACTGATGTGACGAAGAACACATCAAATACTCTCTCTTTTTCTCTTTCCTTCTTTCTTCCCCCCACCCTCCTCCTCCTCTTCAAGCCAGCTCCCTCTGCTGAATCACACATCCCACAATATTGACTCAGACGCTGTGCTTGCAATGCACTTCTCTGAGCAACCTCTGAGTAAAACCTATAGTAATGGGCACATGGGAATTAGGGAGCCCATTCTTCTCATTTTCTTACCTGTTCCTCCCCCAGTAGAAATGAGTCGTTCTCATTTCTGGCAGAAAGAGCTGTTCAACAGTGGAATTGGCTCCCTCGGAAGGTGGCCAACTCTCATTCCTTGGAGGTTTGCAAACAGGAGTTGAGTGACCATCTGCCAGGGATTCTTTCAATATGATTCCTACGTTGCAGGGGCTGGACTAGATGACCTGTTGGGTCCCTTCCAGCTCTACATTTCTACAGTTCTATGATTCCCTCACTCCTCTTAAAGGAATAGCAAATTCCATCCTTCTCTCCTCTATCTTGGTAGAAGCAAGGAAGCCAACATGCCCTGAGCATTGTCAGCCAATCATTTTTGGATCCCGTCTTTGCACTCAGAAATTCAAGTCTGCATACCTTGGGATTGAATAATAATAATAATAATAAATTTTATTTATACCCCACCCTCCCTGGCAGGAGCCGGACTCAGGGTGGCAAACAACAGTAAAATTACAGTAAAAACATAATAGGAAAAAAACAAACCCATTTAAAATGCAGCTTAAAATGCAATTTTAAATGCAGCCTCATTTTAAAAGTAGCCCATAGATCAAAACCATAAGGGGAGGGAAACATAAGGGTCAGTCTGAGTCCAAACCAAAGGCCAGGCGGAACCGCTCTTGAGTGAGTCATCCTGTTCTTATCGTCACCACAACTACCCTGCGAGGGAGGTTAAGCCAAGATAACGTACAGTCGGCCACAAAAGTTTCGCCCCTGAGCTTTATGGCTGGAGCAGGGGCCAAACCCAAAATTCACATTATACCACCAAACGGTGGTGACCACCAACTTGGATGGCTGTCAAAGACAGATTTGTGGAGGGTACAGCTATCACTGGCTACTGGCTATAATGGCTATGTTGAACCTCCATTGTTGAAGACAGTATACCTGCGCATAACGCCAGTTGCTGGAATCTTAGGTGCGGAAAGTATTGTTGCACTCAGATCTGGCTTGGTATCTGGTTGGCCACTGTGAGAACAGGATACTGGATTAGATGGGCCCCTGGCCTTCTTAGGTCTTTATCTACAACACTACCACACTGCCGCCCCCAGCTATTAGATCAGAAACGAAAAGAACTCTGTGGACATTACAGTAGTTCAAAAGAACTTGTCTAAGTCATCACTGCTTCTTGTGGGACCGAACCACATTGAAAGTCTCCCAGAAACATCTGTTTGTGTCAATTAATTTCATGATTGCATGAGCTGCCCCAGGAAAGGTGTGTGTCAGCTATCGCCAGACCTTTTCAGACCTGCCTTTACGCCAAACATGCATTTGGGGAATCATTTCTCATATAACCATATATTTGTATGGAGGTGGTACTTGTTGCAGCAACTTGGGACGGGAGCGAAATTCTATTTTGCTCGTGTTTGAAGCCAGTCCTACCTGATTCCCCCACTTTCCAAAACAATATGCAAACTGAAATGCAGCCATTGAAATCTGTGCTTTTGCAATGCAGTTCCCCAACCATGTAATGTGTACTCCCCCCATCCCAAAAATGCATATACAGTACTTAAGGGTGCTTAATAATGCAGATGTTAGTGATAACTTACCCCAAAAAAATGCATTCTGTGTGGGAAAATTGCTTTGCAAAAATGTGCATATTAGGCGAGGTGGTGTTTTATCTCTTTGGAATGCATTAGTATACCTACAATTTTTCACCCTGAAAAATTGCACACTGAAATAATGATAGATTTTCATGAGGACCGTTTTCTTTCATTGCAAACTGATGTGGAAATGTGGAGAACGTGGCTGAAAGCTTGGGAAATGGAGAGAAACTGAAAGTGACAAATTCACCCTTCCTTAGCTGCAGAACACCGTGACCCCATGGAGGCTCCCCAACCCACCCATTGAAGATCAGTGGAGTACAGTTCCCCCCCTTCCCCTCTCCCTGCCACCAGCCCTCTAGGCCACTGTCATGTTTTTAAAATGTGGAAAGTGTACAGGGATGGTGCAGACAAGGAAGCCACGGTTTAAATCCTGAGGTAGTGGCGGTCGTAGGGGCTTGCAAAGGGGGTTGCATGTCTGACAAGGTGTTTTATCTATTTATGATGCATTAGTACCTACATTTAAGAGTCAATGTATAAAATCAGCTATGTGCACTTTTCCTACTTAGCAGTATTGGGTTCTTTTTAAAAAAAGAAAAGAAAAGATGTTAATGTTCTTTTTGTTATGGAATACTGTGCTGTCTTTTTAAAATGGGTGACATTGTTTAAGTATTTAATTTATTACTGAGGAAGCCCCCAAGGGCGTGTGCAATTACTTTCTCCCCCCTCCCCCCCCCACCTTCATTCAGTACAGTTCGGCTGTATTTCAACGTCAGATTTTTCGTTTCTTTTGTACAGTTGCTAGGGAGTTGTTGTTTTTTCAAAAAAGAAAATCCAGCAAATTTGCCTCTCCACACCCCCTGCTCAGATCGCTTTCTTTGCTTTGTTTTTGGAAGCATCAGAAGCCTGATAGTTTTCGAACACATCTAAAGCAAGTTTCTGGGCTGGATCTGGACAAAGGTTGCAATCCTAGACCCGCTTGCCTGGGAGTAAGCTCCATTTAACATAGTGGGCCCTACTTCTGCCTAAGCATGCATAGGATTGCAGTTGTAAGTTAGTTGAACTTTGTTCTCATTGAAAGCAATGGGGCTTGAGTCATTACAGCTAAGTTGCCCCATTTGATTTCAGTGGCATCTGAGCTCAACTCGTTTAGTCTGAATCCGGCCCTCTTATATGCTTTCATTAGGATGAAACATTGAACTTTCACAAATTTCTTCCATTGGTTGATGGGGATTCTGGAACAGCATGGACGGGATGTGTGTGTTTGGAACTGGAAGGGAGGGACGTTAGGGGGAAATGTACATAATTCCAGGTTACTTTGCAACAAAGAACTAGGTATAACATTGCAAGGTTTGGCTTGTATGGCCTTTCCCTTCCAATATGGAAATATTTTTATTGTATTCTCTATAACCCTATTTGAAATGCACCAGATCTCCTTCTCTCCCCACTCTTTTAAAGTGTTGAATCGCACACTGGATTACAAAATCCAGTTGCAGCTGCAAAGTTGCCTTTGTGAAGAAAGCAGCACCCCTTCCCACTCAAAGCAAAACTCTCCTTCACAGCTGACGATTGTTCCCTGGGAGAGGGTGGAAATAAGGCAGAGAGGCAGAGAGTGCATCAGCACTGTAATATTGCATCAATTTAATTCCTCTTTAATGGTCCTGGCTTCCTGCAAAGACTCCTGGGAAGTGAGTAGAGATGAGGGAGAAATTATGTTCAGCTCATGCTTGAATACGAAACCCCGCAATTCACACATACCGAAAGAATGGGCCAACCAGAACACAGCTATCCTTTGCGATTCACACTTCTCTGAATCTTGTGGTTCTGTTCTCCGACGAAAAAATGTGAATATTAAGAGAAAGTGTGCTAAAAATGCAACAACGAAAATAAAATACAAAAATGCATTATATATTAGGAAAAATCACATACAAAAAGTGTGTCTGTCAGGAGAAATTTGCACTAAAATGCTGGCAAATTTTCGGGAGGGTTATTTTTTAAAAAATAGTAATGCAAACCGAAGAGCAAACTGAATTTAAGATTGGGAAAATGAGAAAGAGAGAGAAGCCATCCATCCCTAGAAGCAAGCTTTAGGGGAAGATGCTAAGGTTTCTCCATTAGAGGCTTTCTTCCTTTCCTTAGAGAACTACAACTCCCAGGATTCTTTGCAGTCTGTCACGTGACTGTTATGCATGCTGCACATTTCTATATGTTGTTTCCCCGGTGTCGGCATTTGCCACCTGGGTTCACTATTAGAGGGGCTGACTCATTGGGCAAATGAGACCAGTAGTTGATATTAAGGTGGAAGACAAGAATTGCAAACAAGGAGTGGGCAGGGAAAAGAGACCAAAATGGAGCGTCGTTGCTGCCGTCCAAAGGCAAATTGGATTTCTGGTTAGCAGTTGCTTAGTTTGGCAGCTGCCAATGTACCCTCTAGATGTGGACTACAACTCCCATCCTTGACCCCTACCCATGATCAGTGGGGGCTGGTGAGAGTGGTAGCCCACCACATCTAGATAAGTCCTTGCTGGCAAACACTCATGACAAACGCGTGTGGCTTGGCGTTCAGTGGATGGCGTGCAGAGGTGTTTGGAGTAGCTGGGGAAAAGGTGTGTACTGTGAGCTGGGGGAAAGATTTGTGGAGCGTTGCGGGGAAAGGAGAAGCACAAATATTGGAAGAGAATGTAAAATACTGAGTGCTGCTTCCTTAGGAATGTGATGTACTGATGGGCCAGGAGAGCCCTTTTAGGGTATAAGAGGTCCACCGCAGCTCCCAGTGGAGTAACTCCAACTACTGTAACGTTCCGGCGAACGTTATTTTCCACTCGAAATATGTGTGTTTACCACATGGGGGTGCTCTTTGACAACCACTAGCAATGGAAGAACTAGAAGGTTAGAAAGCTCAGAGCCACTGGCAAGGAAAGAACGTCAATTCCCCCTAGCACAGCCCAGAATGTTCACCTTCACAATGCAAACTGCCAGTCATTGGAAGCTGCAAAGCTATAGGCATATCGCATATGCCCACAAGAATCCTGGGAACTGTAGTTTGTTAAGGATGCTGAGAGTTGTTAGGAGACACACACCCCTCCAGTGCAGACCCCCCCCATCTGTTGACCTTATATGACCCTGGTCTTTCTAGGACTCCATATACACCCAGAAAGCACACAGGGTGCTTCTGTGCAATGCTGGACCCTTCCTTCCTCCAGAAGAAACTTTTGTATTATAAAATTAGGACCCATATTCAAATCAAGACATCAGGGGCTTTGATCACTCTCTATTTAAACAGCATTGGAGAAGGTTGACGTCGCTGTTGCTTTGCTGTGCCAGGTCTGAGCCGTGTGATCAGCAAAATCATGTGATGGCATCCATCTTGGATCTCACCATTTCAGAGATGCGGGTGGGGGAGGTGAGATCTGCAAAACCTTTCACTCTGTATTGCATTTGGAGAACTATGGCATGCGGGGGGCTGGGGGAGGCCACACTCTATCCTGTTTATTTATCTGTTCTTTGTGCATGGGAGAGGCTATATGGGGAACATTCAAAATGTTGTTCCCGCCCCACCCGCCCAGTCTTAAAGTGGTATAGTCCAGGAGGAACACTACCACATGGTTTTGCTGAGAACAGCTTGAAGTTGCTGGTTGAGGCTCTAATATCAACAGGAAATGATGGGGGTAGGGGGAGAGGAAATAGTCATCTAGGACATGAAACACTCTGTAAATAACGTTCCAGCACATTAACAATTCCTCTTACCACTTCAACTTGCTTTTCAGTACAATCTTTGTAACACTGGCTTGTTTGTTTGTTTTTTAATTAAAAAAAATTACCTCTTCCTGTTTTTTCTCACTTTTGCCTGCTCGGCCTCGACTGAGTCTACCTATGGAAAAATCCAAACACTTCTGTATGTTATTTATCTTTGTATGGTTTTAACCAGGAAAGGGGAGAAAAAAACATCAACACACACACGCACACACAACTGAGAATACCCCACAGAAATTCTGCTGCTCTGGTGTCTTATTGACCCCCTCTCCCCCCCCTTCCTTCTCCCGTCTCTTGAAACACTGTTAATAAAAATCTAGAGTAAAATCTTTTACCTCTTCTTCCTTCGCCTCTTGTTATTTATGTTGTCTTGCTTCTGTTTTCTATATTAACTCTATGAGCTTTGGGACCCCCACCCCCTAAAAAATCTAGGGCAATATATTCACACACAAACACAACCCCTTGCTACTCTTTAAAGGGACCCCTGACCATTAGGTCCAGTCGTGGCCGACTCTGGGGTTGCGGCGTTCATCTCGCTTTCTTGGCTGAGGGAGCCGGCGTACAGCTTCCGGGTCATGTGGCCAGCATGACTAAGCCGCTTCTGGTGAACCAGAGCAGCGCACGGAAACGCCGTTTACCTTCCCGCCTGAGCGGTACCTATTTATCTACTTGCACTTTGAAGTACTTTCGAACTGCTAGGTTGGCAGGGGCAGGGACCGAACAATGGAAGCTCATCCCATTGCGGGGATTCGAACCGCCAACCTTCTGATCGGCAAGTCCTAGACTCTGTGGTTTAACCCACAGTGCCACCCGCGTCCCACTTTTTAAGTGGGTGCTACTCTTTAAGTGGGTGGTAAATTAGCCCCATTAGTGTTGAGTTCACGTCACCTGTCTCCCTCTCCTTGTTAATTTAGGATGGTACATGGGGTCAACATAACAATCATAAGAACACAGAAAGCTGCCTTATACTGAATCAGATCATTGGTCTGCCTACACTGACTAGCAATGGCTCCTCAGGGTTTCAGGCAAGGAACAGTCCCAGCCCTGATTGAAGATGCCATTGGGAGTTGAACCTGGGTTCTCCTGCATGCGAAGCAAGATGCTGTACCACTGAGCTACAGATTATCCCGACAGGATGGAGAACTGAGCTAAAACATAACAAAATGAGTTTCATTATGGATAAATGGGTTAAGTTCTGCATTTAAAAAGGTAAAGGGACCCCTGACCATTAGGTCTAGTCGTGACTGACTCTGGGGTTGTGGCGCTCATCTCGCTTTATTGGCCGAGGGAGCCAGCGTACAGCTTCCAGGTCATGTGGCCAGCATGACTAAGCCGCTTCTGGCGAACCAGAGCAGCACATGGAAACACCGTTTACCTTCCCGCCAGAGCGGTACCTATTTATCTACTTGCACTTTGACGTGCTTTCGAACTGCTAGGTTGGCAGGAAGTTCTGCATTTAGGGAGGGGGGAAATCACATGCACAAATATAGGATGAACGATGCCTGGCTTAGCAGCAGCTCATGTGAAAATTAATTAAGCCAGGGACGGAGAACCAGTAGCCCTGCAAACATTGCTGGACTTGCCCCAGCCAGTATAGCCAAGAGTCAAGGGTGATGGGTGTTGTATTTCCACAACACCCAGAGGGCAATAGTTCCCCATCTGTTCTCTATATATTTTGGACTACAGCTCCCATCAACCCAGGTAGCATAGCCAACGGTTAGCGGGGCTAGGAGAACACGTGGAAGGTCGCAGGTTCCTCATCCCTGATCTAGTGGTTTTTAGTAGACCACACATTAGACTTCAGTCACAATTGTTGACACTACTCCGCATCAACCAAAGTATAGAGCAGGCATAGGCAAACTCGGCCCTCCAGATGTTTTGGGACTACAATCCCCATCATCCCTGACCACTGGTCCTGTTATCTAGGGATGATGGGAGTTGTAGTCCGAAAACATCTGGAGGGCCGAGTTTGCCTATGCCTGGTATAGAGTTATAGCCAACTAAGTCCTATTCAGAGAAGATTAATGTCCATTCAAATTAATGGACTGAAGTCATGGACACTCATTTCAATGAGTCTTCTCTGAGGTGGGTAGCAACTAAGTGTTACTCAGAGTAGATCCACAGAAATTAATGAAGACAATAAATTACGTATATTAATTTCAGTGGGTCTTCTGTGAGTAAAACTTAGTTGACTATCACCCACCATGTCCATATCATAAGAAGCAATTGAATCATCCTGTTTGGTCAGAATAAGATGTCCCCTTCTGGTCTTTTCAGTTTAAGGAGGCTATTGACAAGCTAAGAATGTGAGCAGGGCAACAAATAGTGACTGGGGCTGATGGGGTTTGTAGTCCCCAACATCGGCATTGGCTGCCCCTATTCTACACTTGATCAGCAGCAGTTTATTGGAGTTTCAGGCAGAGGGCTTTCCCAGCCCCACCAGGAGATGTCAGGGATTGAACCTGAGACTTCATGCAAAGCAGATGTGCTACCAATGAACTACTGCCCTTCCCTTGAGACTTGGGGTCATAGGAAGCTGCCTCATACTGTGAGTCAGACCACCACCCCATCTTGTTGAATGGCAGCAGCTCACCAGGGTTTCAGACACAGAACATTCACAGCCCTACCTGGAGATACAAGGGATCAAACTTGGGACTTTCTGCATGCAAAGCTGAGCTTCTGCACCTTCTGCCACTGAGCTACAGCTCCTTCTTATGTCATGTTGGCTCCCAATGTTCAGGTTTAGGAACCCAAATCGTGTTCAGGGGCTTAGATCAGAGACTAGATTTGTTAGCTTGTGTCAACCTAGTGGCATAACAACTGCAGTTCACTCCTCCTTCAGCAGTTCCATTAATTCTAACTCACTATGGAGTACAAGGGCTGTCCAAAATGTTATTTTTTTTAAAAAAAAAAAATTTCTCTGCATTTTTCGTCCAAACCAAAGGACCTCAGGGTTGGCATTATTCTGTTGCTTTTGGAAGGGGGATACATAATCAAAACTTGGCTGTAACTGTTTGATGGGGATGGGGAACCTGATTCATTTTGCATCTGAAGGGCAGCACACCGGATTTGCACTTTCGCAAACAATACGTGAACCAGAACACAACCAACCTTCAAAATTTGCTTGTCTCTGAATTTTGCAATGTAGTTCTTCAGCCAAGTACTGTGTACACAAAGGCATACACTAAGGTAAAGTGTGCATTGAAAGAAACCATATATAGTAGTAAAAACAGTTGATGAAAGTGCATCACATTAGAGAAAGCTGTTTTGCAAAAATGTGTATGTTTTGCAAAATTGCACACAAAAATATGTGTATTATGAGAAGTTCGCACAAAAATGCTTACAAATTTCCATGAAGACATTTTGTAACGAAACACCAATGACACACCAATGTAGAAATATGAATAACTGAACTTGGAAACATGAGACGCAGAGAGAAACCCAAAAGGATAGATTTGCCAATTCCTGCCAGTTGCTCTTATTGGGCTGATACCCGCTGTCCACCAGAATTTTTGCACAGGTGTGCTTGAACGTGGCAAGGGAAAATTATTGGCTACAGATAGCCATGTGTGCATGTATTATTTATTATCCAGTTGATGTCTTTGTAGGGTACGATCAGGATACAAAGTGCTTTGCAGGGTAACAAGGCAGACTCTTGCATCACAGAGCTTACAGTTCTAGTTTTGGCAGAAGCAGAGTAATGATGCTATAGGTACTCGTAATTACCAGGTTCAGAGCAAAACTTCAGTGCATTCATAATGCTTACTAGAATGCTGAATCTGGCACAATTCTTCTCTGGCTCAGTTTGCATTCCTGAGAAATAGCATTTCAGGAGCCAGGGGCCCTGGGAAACATAATGTTCCCACGGCACCTGAGCCCATAGAAACTCAGATATTCAAGGGGGGAAACCACATGCCTCAGATTCTCTGGCAGCTGGGATATGAATATTGCAGTGATACCAACATCAGGGAGGGAGGGAGAGAAGCCTAATGACTGGCTTTGTAGAGGGTTACACATCTGACACAATTCTTCTCCAGCTTGGATTGCATTCCTGGGAAACAGCATTTCTGGAGCCAGGCGCCCTGGGAAATGTAATGGTCCCAAGACACCCGAGCCTATAGGAATTCAGATGTCTTGGATCCTTGGGCATTTGGGATGTGAATATTCCAGAGCTTCCAGCTCCAGGGAGGAAGAGAGAGAAATCTAAAGGCTAACACTTTAAACTTGGGTTATAAACCCACAGCACAGAAAATTGACCAGTTGGTAAATGTTGGCCTATAGTTTGGAGAGGAGCCTGGATGTGATCTGCTTCAACCAGGAGCTTCCAGTTCTCTGCACATTTGGGCTGGCTTTTTTACATCAATTTCTGTCGCCAGAAGATCTCCCTCCCTGTGTTCTTCCAAGCAGTTTCCTAGAAAAAAGGAGAGTGGGTCAAAGGCTGGCAGCTTGCTGAAAATAACACCCTGGAAGAATCTTTGAAAAGTACATACCAAGTTTATCCACTGGGTGATCAGTTGTGTGCTCAGTAGCCCTGAGAGAATCAGAACGTGAGGAAACACAACAAAACAAAACCCTCCATCATTTCCCAAGCTAAAGCCTCCATTTTCTCCTGCTGCTTATTGAACGGCAGGAAGTTTTGGGAGGAAGGCAACTTTTGGCCGGAGAACAACACTGATAGGCTTGCCATACGTCCAGGAAAACCTGGCCATGGAGGCCGACATGCCCATCTGGGCAGATTTTTACATTTTAAAGGAAATGTCTGGGTTTGGGGGCGGGCTCTGCACACCATGGCCGCTGCCAGCCCGAGCTGGGAAAAGAGGCGCCTCTTTTCCCAGCTTGGGCTGGCTGCTTTTCAGGCTGCCCCCAAAGGGTACCCTAGCCTAGGCCAGAATCTCAGAAGATGCCCCAGAAGATGCTCTAAATCAGTGCACAGCTGGATCACATGTAGGATAACCATGCACAGTTTCTAATGCAGGTAGAGACTGCAGGGATCAGCTTTGGTTCAATTCAGATTTCAGGGCAAACCTACCTAACTCATACCACCCAACACTGCAAGCCAGAACACAGCTGTCCTTTGAAATCTGCACTCTCCCCGAATTTTATACTCTAATTTTATTGGCTTCTTTTATCCCATTTATATCCCACACTTCTACCCCACTCCTCGGTTTATCCTCACAACAGCCCTGTGAGGTAGGTCGGCCAAGATATAGTGATTGCTCCAAGGTCACTTGGTGGGACTTCATGAAGATTTGAACCCTGGTCTCCAGGGTTTTAGTCTGACACTCTAACCACTACACCACACAAGCAGAGGCCCCTGTCTGTCCACTAATGGAAATACTGGTATAGATGACCTTTGAGCTGATCCAGTGGTGTGTGGTCCATGTACCTTACCACACATGTGATGTGACAGCTCAATCATATACACCATCAAGGAGACCAAGGGGTGATCTGATCATCTGACCCAATTTACACTTTGCAGAGCAAAGCACAGCTATCCTTTGACGTTCCCAGATTCCCCTGGATTTTCTGCTGCAGTTTGGCAACCAAATGATGTGAACAAAAATATTTGGCAGGTGGAGGTGGGAATGTGCATGAAAATGCACACATTTGTGAAGATGAGATATGAAAACGAATCGTATTCGGGAAATCGGCTTGCAAAAATGCGTGCGTCAGGCAAAATTGCAAAAAAAAAAAAGGGAATAAAAGAAAAGAAGTCGTGGCCACAAGGGGAGTATAAAGCCATCAGGCCTCCAGATGAATCCCAAATGAATATATGATTTGTACCAAATTGACAGAGAGAGAGAGAGAGGAGAAAAAAAACTTGTCCTCTTAAGTGGTAGTAAAAAGAAAGGCACAGGGTCATATTCGTTTCCATTTCCCCCCTTTCATTCTAGAGCAAATGCACACCCATAATTACCATTTAAATGTTCACTAAGCTTCTGGCCAGAAATACAGGAATGTCCTTAAGGGTGTACGTGCAGCAAGACAGATCCTGAAACTGATTTCTTTTTTTCTTTCTTTCTTTGTCTGCATCCTGGTATATTCCATGCATTTATTTTTGCATTTATATAAGTATCATGTATGCACACACCCCCACAGACAATGTACTGTCCTTTCCCCCCCTTTGTACCAGTAGTATCCTTTGTTTTTAATACAGGTGGCCACCATCTTGCACATGTCCAACTGATGTGTGACCGCCCATGTGTGGGTCCTTTTGGACCTGGAAGGGGGCAGAATGGGACAGGGCAGAACAGGGTATAACGGGGCAGGGCAGGGTGAACTTATGCATGCTCCACCGATGCAGATGGGGGCCAGGAATGGAGCCCCCCTGCAAAAGCGCCACCTCGTAATTATTTGGAAATCTGCAGCCATCATATTTTCATTGTATCACTCCCTCTATTTCCAATGTTCAGCCCTGAGTGCCGTTGCTTACGTACCACCCACATACAAGGGTAAAGTATCAGTGCAATTGCAGGGACCCCTAAGTCAGGGGTGGGGGGCTGCTTTCCGCCTGTATAGGGAAGTTTTTTAACGTTTGATGTTTTAGAATATGATGGAAGCCGCCCAGAATGGCGGGGTACGAATAATGAAATTATCATTATTAGCCACATTCCCCTCTGGGCAATCTTTCGAGGGCCACATGCCAGGGGTGGGAGGGGTCAGAGACAAAAATGGGTGGAGCAGCACAGCTAAAGGTTACCTCTGTACTTCAGACTTGTTGCTACACACACGGACACAACACTTTGGCTCCTGCAGCCAATCGGAAGCCACGGAAATCACATTGGACATTCAGGTTCCAAAGAATGTTCAAAAACTGGAACAATCGCTTCTGGTTCTTGGGAGCCAAAACGTTCGACTCCCAAGGCGTTTGAAAAGCAAGGTACGACTGTATTTGCAGTGTGAAGCAGGAACAGACAGCATTTGCTCTCTGTGCTGGACGTTCTCCAACCCAGCCCTAAGGAAAAGGTGGTTAACCTGTGGCCCTCCTGATGCTGCTGAAACTACAATGCCCGTTGACCACAGACAGCAAGTTCAAGGAAGAGGGGAGTTTTAGTTCAACAACATCTGGAGGGCCGCAGCTTAGCTGCTCCTGCCCCAGGGGGAGGAGGAGTCCCCAAATACCTCAGTGAGCACCTAATGTTATTCAACAGTTGGAGGAAAAGCTGAAAACGGAATAGAATGGAGTATCCCAAAATGGGGATGGAATGGAGTATCCTGAAAGGGGCGTGGCTGGTGGCCTTGAGCCCTGAACAGGAACATTCTAATGTGCCACAACACTTTGTTCCCATTCTCACTTGTCATGTAAAATGCTTGCCATTTTCTTTTCAAAAAAGTAATGGAAGAAACGTTTCGGAAATTGTTGGGCCGATAAGCCTTTAGAGAAAGCACATTAAAGACACATGGCTTCCCTCAAAGGTTATTGGGAGCTGTAGTTTGAGGGAGCTGGGAATGGTATTTTTCTAGAAAAAGAGGTGCCAGAACTCGCCACGAACACCTCCCTCGTTCTCTTAGAATAGCAATGGCGCCCACCTGAGAGGAGCCAGAACTGAGTACCAGTCAGTTCCACCTGGATAAAACAAGCCCTGGTTCGCAGGATTCTTTGGAGGAAGCCATGTGCCTTAAGTGTGTGGAAGTCAGCACTGTCGGCATCTTTCCTTGTCTCCCTATTAACGCTGATTTCGCTGAAGAGAAAGGGTGGTCAGCTCATCCTTGGTGTCTATATCTGTCTTCTACAGGAGACGCCACCTATCTCGACATCTTCCGCGAGTTTTCTCACATGGCATCCAACAACCCGGAGAAACTCAACCGCCGCAGCCTGTACTTCAGCCACTCCTACAGATAGTCCTCAAAACCACCACGGACATCATCTGAGAACGCTCGTTCCTTCCAACTCCAGAGGGAGAGTCGAGATTACGTGCCGTGGAAGAAGCCGGAGGGACAGAGGCGGCCAGTGGCTGAATCGGGTCCATCCAGAACGGGAGCAGTTCGACCCAATGTCTCTGGTCACCCCACACAGCTTTGCGTTGATCGCTACATCTCCCCATGGTCACCACCCCACAACCAAATGGCTTTCCCCCTACATCCCCTTCCCCCCAAAAAACTTCTGAAGAGGATATACACAGCCCTATGAGTAACTAGCCCATGTTTACAGCCTGAAATGGAGAGAGAAACCTATTTCTTTTTAAAGCAGGGGTCGAGAACTTGTAGATATTTCGGACCTCGCTGGACTCGAGCTCCCATCAGACAATAAATAGTCCAGGATGATGTGACCAATGTCTGAAAGGCCACAGCTTCCTCATCCGTGTTCTAAAATGGAAGTGGTGAATTTGCGGCCTTCACGTTATTGGTGGGTTGCAGCTCCCGTCATCCCTGATCAACTGCTTGTGCTGAGGCTGATGGGAGTTGTAGTCCATCAACATCAGGCAGGCCATGGGTTGCTCTCCTATGTCCTGCTTCTGCCCCACTGTTGCCCTGGAGGTTTGATCTCACTAGCCTCAGGTGACTTGGCAAACTGGTTTTTACAGCCTTGGAGCAGGATGGAAAGTATCAATTTTGTTCAATGGGAAGATTAGATCGCTCCATAGCATCATTCCGGAGCATGGCGGAGAACTAAAAATGATGAGCAGGCTTCCTGGCTCACTACCAACTGCAGTCAATCCACCACAGTCCCCCCCCCTCAATATATTTCATAAAATCACAGAATTATAGTGCTGGAAAGGACCCCATTCCCACTCCTGCCATTACTTGCCATTTTCCTTACCCTTTCTGTGATTTCCCTTGCCTTAAGGCCTAAAACAAGTTCCCTGTTCCTGATTTTAAAGCATGGCTGCTTCTTCTTGTTGTTCTTTCAAAAATCATGTTCTGCTTGTTTTCATAGATAACGGACTTGTCAGAGAGCCTGTACTGGTACAGCCTCTGCCGCCCAAACTGCCTCTTGTTGAGCGTGTATAGAAATATGTGTTTATATGCTGGAAATGTAATATATCTCTGGGCAAAAAAGAAACATATTTTTTAAAAATGCTTGTGGAGGGAGCGAAGGGGTATTAATTGCAAGGGAGGGAAGAGGGAAGTCCAGACAGGAGGGACGGACGGACCTTATTTACAAGATTATAAATAAAGACGGGTGACATTTTTCTCCCGGGACATTAGGCATGACTTCCTTGTCAGTTTCTCGGATCTAGACCTCTTTGAACCAGGTGAGAAAATTATGTCATGGACCTTGCTATAAAGTGATATTTATTGGGTACACGTTTATAGCTTTGGGGCCAGCTGCCAAATCAGATATAGTAGTTGGTTCCTGAGAAATGACAAAGTAGAGCCAAGGTATTTATATGCATAGAAAGAAATATGCACACAGTCTACAGTAGGATCAGGCGGTGACTTATCGGACCTCCAGTTAGCTGTGTCATTGCGGCTTTCTGGGAGGTAAAGAGGGAGGCATGAGGTCAGCATGGTGCAAACGCAACACCAACTGACCCTATCAGGTCCTCCCACTAGCGCAACTGCACCTCCGCAACATCGCACTCCAACATTGCAGTTACGACTGCACCGCTCCCCCCAAATAATCAGCCATGACTCTGCTGCTCAGAGGTCAGGGGAACGTTGCTGCCCCACTGTGCTGTCTGCGCAGAACGCCCCAAGTTCGATCCCTGACATCTCCTGGTAGGGTTGGGAATGAAAAACCCTTCGAAAACAAAAACCCACCATACTCCACCACAATTGTTCGCTCCAAACCTCAACTCTCCACAGGCCTCCAATGTCATTGCAAAAGCTTCCGCACTTGCAAAGGCTCGTGGGATTTCTAGACACTATTTTTGCACCATTTTCGCCATTTGCGTACTCTTTTAGGGCCGTGTCCCTCGCTTTTCGTGCCACAGCCGGGTTCGCTGCGATGCGCGTGCGCACAGTTGCGAGTCCCTCGGACACATGTAAATGGGGAGCTGCCTGCACTCTGCTCCCAATTCCACACAGGCAAACAACATGGAGATACCGATAATATTTTATTTGACTCAAATGCATATTATTACTATTGCCGTTTTGAAAGGGTTTTATGACATCCAATCAGCAAAATGGTCCGCATTTCCACTTGGTAGGTAAATTCTTGGGGGAAAAGCAGGGATGCAATTCTTGTGCAAGAAGAAGAGCGCCCTAAGATATGAGGCACGCTATCCGTCAGGATTAAGCACCCAGGCTATGAGACAAGTCAGGCAAAACAGAAAACAAAAGCAGCTTGAGGGGTAGCCTCTTCAATGGGGGAGGCTATTGTGTCCAGTGCTGGTCCTACTCAGAGCAGACCTATTGAAAACAATGTACATGGCTAATTTATGTTTGGTAATTCCAGTGGGTCTACTCCAAATACAACCCAATGGGATTACCCTGGGCTGTACCCAATGTCTGTCCTATTCAGAGTAGACCCATTGAAGTTTACTGGGCATGACTAACCTAGATCCATTAATTTCAGTGGGTCTGCTCTGAGTAGGTCTTAGATACAACCCATGAACCTTCGCTTCAAATAAAATAGAGGGAACATAAACGGCAACTTAATTTTCTAAATGCTTCTCTTGCTTTCAGTTAACCTAACACAATGCTAAGAACCCCAAAATAATAACATAGGCTGAGCCCCCCCCCTTTTAATAATCAGGCAGGCAGGGCTCCCCCCTGAATCAACCACCCTACATGGGATATCCTCTGGTTCTGCTCCCTGTTAAAAATGCAGCTCAACAAAATGGCCGCTGTGCCCTGCAGTTGTTCGCTGGGTGATTCTTGAACTGGAGGTTATAGGCAAAGAGATGCTTCCGGAAGCAGCTGGCCGCTTTTTGGTCGCATTCGCACACGAGCTTCTCGCACCGGTCCCGCGACTTGACTGCAGAGAGAGGAGAAAGGTGGTAACCTCAGCATCGGTTTCCGCAAAGAGGGGTGCTTTGAAACGGGGGAACGGAAATAGAAAAGATTTGAACCAGCTCTCTGGCTTGACGCTGGACCAACTCACCGCATTTAATTTTATCCCTCTGGGGGTAGAACCTGTACGAGAGGGTGCTTGGGTTGCAACCGAACATCTCGGCCTTGTTGTAGCAGCAGTCGTGGCTGTGGCAGCACCTGCATGTGACGTGAAAACGAGAGAGCAAGGAATTGCTATGAATCAGGCCCATTTTGGTGCCATCTTAGTTTTTTCAGAACTCAACATTCTGGAGCACTGTGGGTTGTTGTTGTTGTTAAAGCGCATCTTTAACGGTGAATGCCGTGTAATTTTCTTTTGCCCGCAATGGGCTTAGTTTGGAAAAACTAAGATGGCGGCCACAACCGTGGTCTCCGGCGGCCTGTGAGATTTCCCCAGTATCGCACAGCATGTTTCTGATGACAGCATATTCAAGCAGAAGTCTCCCTCAGCCCTACCTGAAGATGCCAGGGATCAATCCTGGTACCTTCTGTGTGCAAAGCAGATGCTCTACCACTGAAAGTGTCTGTGGTATAACCCTACTGGGACCTGGTTCATATCATAATGCAGGTGGAGGCAGTTTATTTGAATTATCCTCCGCATGAAACAAGCTCCTTGTCTGTAGAAAGCAAGCATCTCAGAGAGGCTAGGCAAGACACTTCCTCCCAGATATGCTAGTTTGGTGCATGCAGGGATTCCATGTACCGTATTTTTCGCTCTATAACACGCACCCGACCATAACACGCAAGTAGTTTTTAGAGGAGAAAAATCTGTAGGCATGCCACCCGTAGGCATTCCCTCCATAACACGCACAGGCATTTCCCCTTACTTTTTAGGAGGAAAAAAGTGAGTTATGGTGCAAAAAATACGGTATTTCTTTGTATGGGAGAGGCACGCAAATATGGAGGTCCCCCATCCCTGTTCTTGAGACTCCCATTGTTGGACATTTTCCATATCTGCTATTGGGTCACATGAAGTGGCAACCAACCTTGCAGGATTTAACAGGATTTATTTGAAATGCATATGCAGGACAAAGGTACAGAGCGATAAATTCGCAATCTGCACACCCCAGTCAGGATGCGCCCACTTTTTATACCCCTTAGAATGCATAGACACGTGTTCACATGTAAAACATGTGATTTACACTACTAGTAATAAGATATAGCTTTGTTTCTTGTGTTACCCTCCTCCTTTTCAGTTCGCCTCCTTTTCAGCCCCCCCCCCCCAAATCTGGGGTTACAATAACACTCATTCAATCTTGCTTATTATCTCTACCTGCCTAAGCCAGACATTCCAGAGAGAGAGGCCCGTTTTCACTGTAACATCTAAGCAAGAAGAAAAAGCCTTGTTCTCCTGGCTGGTGTAAAAACCTCCCTCCCCCCTTTAAGGAAGGGGTTTGGGCATAACATATGAGAGAGGAGAAAATGCCTCAAACAGTTTTTGGGATCATATAGAGAACAATACTCTAATGGCCCTTCACCATGACTTGTAAAACCCCTGAACTGTAAGAGAATGATGATAGCCCAAGAGGTGAGCAATGCCTGGTAATCTCAGGTGAGCCTCACCTGTCGATGGCATCCACGGGGAAGCCTTGAGTCCCTGCCCCACAGTGACACCCATAGTTGGTGAAGTTGGCCAGGGTGAAGGTGACGGTGCTCATCTGGATCATCTCATTAAACTGGGAGGCAAGGCCGGTCACCAGAGCGGCTCCTGAAAGAGCAACAGAGTCTTGTTTGGAGGGAAGAGCAAAGAGACAGGGAGCAGGGGGTACGGATTGAAAAAGCAAGGGAGTTGAGGTGGAAAAGCATTGTTTGTGGTGGGAATAGCAGTTGAGGTCTCAAGCCTTTCTGAGGGGTGGGGATACCTTTTCCCCTGCTGCCTCATTCCCTCAGAGGTAAACCGTTCTCAGCCACTTGCTGGCAGTAAAGGTAAAGGGACCCCGGACTGTTAAGTCCAGTCACAGACGACTCTGGGGTTGTGGCGCTCATCTCGCTTTACTGGCTGAGGGAGCCGGCATACAGCTTCCGGGTCATGTGGCCAGCATGACTAAGCCGCTTCTGGCGAACCAGAGCAGCACACGGAAACGCCGTTTACCTTCCCGCCGGAGTGGTACCTATTTATCTACTTGCACTTTGACGTACTTTTGAACTGCTAGGTTGGCAGGAGCAGGGACCGAGCAATGGGAGCTCACCCTGTTGCGGGGATTCGAACCGCCAACCTTCTGATCTGCAAGCCCTAGGCTCTGTGGTTTAGAGGTAAACCGTTCTCAGCCACTTGCTGGCAGTAGGTAGGGCCAAAGCCACCTCCTTTTCCTTCTTCCCTCTGCCATCCCCTTCCTTTCCCTCCCTCTCTCTCTCCCTCTCCCCCCATCTTTCTCTCTGCTACCCCATTTCATTCCTTTTCACGGCGTCCTTCTATCTCTCTTTCTGCCACCCCTTTCTCTCCTTTCTTCCCACCTCTCTTTCGGCCATTCTGACACCTCCTTTCTCTCTCCCCACACTGATTTAAATTAGGCTGAGGATCACAGGTAGTCAGTCCTAAGGCTGCTGGTTGCCCAGTCCTGGACTGAGAGGTTGAGCCTGTGAAAGTACTGGGAATTAGATCAAGCACGCCGTGGCATGGTGAGCCTGGTGAGAGACTGGTGAGCCTGGTGAGAGACTGGTAAGCCTGCCTGGAAGGCAGAAGTAACCTGGTGGCAAAAGAAGATGACTTTAAACCCCTGCCTAGGGGTATTAGCTATGACTGTGAAAGGAACACAAAGATTCAGTGGCAGTATATCCCTGAATACCAATTGCCAGATTTTTCTTTTCTTCCTCTTCCCACATTTGGCTGCAAAATGCACTGCCCTCAGGCTGGTTTCTTGATGGCAATGCCATGAAGCCAAATCAGAGTGAGGGCAGTCTGAGGGCTTGTGGGGGAGGGGAGGTGCTTGCCATGAGTTGCCACCATTGCAGGGACCACGGTGGAAGCAAAGAGACCCCATCCCAGAGACCCCTCTTCCGGACAACAGCAACAGCTCTGGAAAGAACTCTCAGCTCTACTGAACTATAGCAGAAAAGTAGACTTACCACAAGCCAGAACCAGTAGGAAGATTGTAACGTTCTTCATGGGTGCAGCTGAACGGAAGCAAGCCAAAGAGAGCCTTGTTTCGCTGTCAAAAAAAGGGCTCTGTGCAATCGCTTGGGTGTCTGTGTCAGTTTATATAAGCAAGACCAACTAGATATTTTGGGACAAATGATGTCCCCATCACCTCCGCCCCCAGTCCTGGCTCATAATAATTATACTCGAGGACCAGAGCAAAACAAGGTTAGGGACCATAATTATCTAAGAAGTGGGATTAACAACATCAGGATATATATATAAGCGGTGGCAGTCTGAGGCTACATCCATACTATACATTTAAATCGCTATGATGCCCCTTTAAGCACCCATAGCTTCCCACAAAGAATCATGGCACCTATAGCTTGTTAAGAGCGCTGAGAGCTGTTAGGAGACACCTCTTGCTATGCCCCTCGCAGAGCTATTATTTCCAGAGTTTTTGTGTGTGAAGATAGATTGGTTGTTAAACCACTCTGGAAACTGTGCATAAGAACACCAGAAGAGCCATACTGGATCAAGCCAAAGGCCCATCTAAATTTTATTTATACATTAATCACATTTATATCTCACCTTTCCCCCCACCCCCAAGGACCTCAAGGCTCTCCCCTTCCTCATTTAAATTCCGCAACAACCCTGCAAGGTCGGTTAGACTGGGAGGGACAGTGACAGGCCAAAGGCCACCCAGTGGAGAGCTTCAAGGCCGAGTGGAGCATTTGAACCCTGGTCTCCCAGGCCTTAGTCTGACACTCTAACCACGGCACCACACCAGCTTTCGGTCCAGTATTCTTTTCTCACAGCGATAGCACCATGTTGCACTTACAGAAATAAATAAATGATGGATGGATGGCCCAGTACATCACAAGTGCAATACAGTGGTACCTCAGGTTAAGTACTTAATTTGTTCTGGAGGGCCGTACTGTTCTTAACCTGAAGCACCACTTTAGCTAATGGGGCCTCCTGCTGCTGCCATGCTGCCAAAGCATGATTTCTGTTCCCATCCTGAAGCAAAGTTCTTAACCTGAAGCACTATTTCTGGGCTAGCAGAGTCTGTAACCTGAAGCATATGTAACCTGAAGCATATGTAACCTGAGGTACCACAGTACAGTCATACCTCGAGTTGAATGCGCTTCGGGTTGAGCGCATTCGAGTTGCGCTCCGCGGCAACCTGGAAGTAATGGAGCACGTTACTTCCGGGTTTCGCCGCTCGCGCATGCGCAGACGCTCAAAATGACGTCACGCGCATGCGTGTTAGTGGCAAAACACGACCCGCGCACGCACAGACGCGCCGTTGTGTCTTGCGTTTCGTTCGGGATGCGAACGGGGCTCCGGAACAGATCCCGTTCGCATCCCGAGGTACCACTGTATTCCTTCGTCGCTGACATGTGGCAGAATACATCCTCAAGATACCCCAGTCTCAAGCAGCCCTGAGCCCAGTTTAAAGATGAAGTATCATGAGAGGTTTTGACGTTGCCCATCGATAGGACCTGGGCAACAGATTGAACAAGTACACAGAAGAAATGATCCATAATGAATTGAAAAAAATGTTTAAAAGTACCTTCCCCCAAAAAACCCAGAGTCCTTTTTGTTGGGGATAATTCAGACGGAAATTCTCAGGTGTCAAAAAAGGCTATTTATGTATGCCACTGCTGCGACCCATGTTTTGTTAGTCCAAAAATAGAAAATGAGTGAGGTCCCAACTAAAGAAGAATGGCAACTTAAGCTGACGGAATATGCACAGCTTGCAGACTTAACATATAGAATAAGAGAACAAGAAGAACATACGTTTAGAGAAGATTGGAAAACGTTTATTGAACATATGGGGGGGAATTGTCTACGCTTGAAAACACTGGCAGCATTAAGATAAATTCAACAGTGTAAATAAGTTTTGATGGATGTAAAAATGGAATACTGAATGGTTTAGTTTACCTATAATATGCAGGGATTTATGGTATGCAAAATGAACCATGGAAAGAGAAGAAGGGAAGTCATTGATGTTGTAAGGATGTTTAAATGAGCATTCAAAATTATAAAACAGAAAATCTAATAAAAATTATATATAATGAGCAAGTTAATTTCAGGTTCTGAATACCGCATGGAAAAGGGTAAGTTGATAATAGGTTGCCTTCCTTTTCTATTTCAATCCACTGATGATGGCCGGGGTAAACAAATGAGGAGGCCATTGTGTATTTATCAGCTGAGATCATTGCTTTGTTTGTGGAAACATCTCTGAAAAGATGGCAGTTTTGGAAATGGGAAGGAAGCATTTAGCTGGAAGGAGGAATCTGAATCCTGTAGAAAAGGAGAACCGGGAGGTGCAGGGAGTCAGCAATGTATCCCAGTGGTAAATTAGGAACTCAAGAGGAGCTTTGCTGCCTCAGGCTGATGGTTCATCCATGGAGTTCCTGCTTCTGGGCTTCCCATTGAAACATCTGGTTTGGCCACTGTGAGAACAGGATGCTAGACTAGTTGGGCCAATGGCCTGATCCTGCGGTAGCCAGGCTCTCCTTATGTGATGCTTGGGACCTGTTTTAGGGCGAAAGGAAAGACATCTGTCCACAAGTCTGCAATTTTTCTATTGGGCGAACCATATATATTTAGAACCGTGAAGGTGGCACATTGTTCTTCCTGCAGGAACTGATGGGGGGGGGGTGTTGTGTGGAATGCTTAAGTAAGAACAGTATGCCAGGTCAAGGAGATTTGTGATTTCAAGTTCATTTTAGGCTTTTTAGTCATTTAGCTTGCATATCAGTTTATTCAGATTTTTGTAACATTTATTTAAATGTTTCCATTTAATACTTATTTTTTAAGAGGAACCATATATACAGTGTTTGTGTGTGTGTGTGTGTGTGAGAGAGAGAGAGAGAGATGTTGTTATCTTATGTGCAGGGGAAATTCATCATTTTAAGTTTATGTCGCAAACAGTTTTATTTGGGTCTGAGTTAACTTCCATTGATGCAATCCTTTGTTAATTGCCTACAATTAAACTTTTGTTTTGTGATGGTCTGATGACCAGATACAAATAAACCCAATCTGATGTCATCTCTTCCACCCTGTAATAAGTGGCTGCACTTTATCTTTCCCCTATTCCACTGATGCAATTTTGTGTGTGTGTGTGTGTGTGTGCTAATTTTAGCAACTGCGGTCACAGAGGTCACAGAAGTCGAGGTCAAACACCAGAGGAGCAGTCACAGAGTCAGAGGAGAAGATGTTGCAATGTTGTGGACGATGCTCAGGAGCTAGAGCAACGGGGTTGCAACACACACACACACACACACACACACACACACACACACACAGGTTCTACATCGCTGTTATGTCGGCCAGCTGTTTCAAAGACTTAGCAATGCTACAGGAAAATATTAGCCAACGTTATTTGTTTCTTCACAGCACCCCCACCCCTTTTCATTAGAAAACCTCTCAGAGAGGCTTTGCGAAAATCCCTTTCCTAACCTTTGCCCTCAGGTGCACAATTTCAAAAAGTCATGACGCATGAGGAAAGAAGGAAGAGGAGGGAAGAGGGAAAAGGAAAGTTCTTAAAGTTACAGCCAATGTCAGTAGCGATTCTGGTGGCTTTGTCCTTGATAAAGAGGACATCCTTTTCGCTCCCTCTTTATGCTAACTTCCTCTTTCTTTCTTTCTTTCTTTCTTTCTTTCTTTCTTTCTTTCTTTCTTTCTTTCTTTCTATCTTTCTTTCTTCCTCTCTCTCTCTCTCTCTCTCTCTCTCTCCCCAACCCTCTTTATCCAGATTCCCCACTATGTGCCAACCACATGCAAATAAGGCAAGGTCTGCCTGAAATTAAGCTGAGGGCCATATGTAGGCTTAGAGCTGCAGCTTCTAGCCTGGGTACATCTGTCCCCAACTTGAGAGGTTTAGCTTCTCAGGGTCGAGTGGAAGGGAATGCCAACAACTCATGTTTGCGACATTTCCGGAAGGTGTCCTTCGAACCCTTCCAAAAGGCAAACGAGGAACAGCGATTCGGTCTGTTCCGGAAAACTGGGCCTGTCTCTGGTTCACAGGCGTTGGGTGGTTGTTGTTTTCTGATGCTGCTGTTGCCTCATTGATTGTCTTCCCAAGAAGCCGCGGCTGTGCTTTCGACTCTGCTGTGTCATGATGTACGTGCAAGATCCAGTTTGGGCTCGCTCGATGGTGATTTATGCAGGCTCGAAATCGGTCATGTGTTTAAGCCAAAATGCAGGATGGGCTGATGGGGATCGGCCGGGGATCCTAACCGTAGCTCCACCAACAACACCTAGCCCTTCAGAAATCTGGTTGCTTCCCAAATGCCCAACTCCTTCCTGGTTATATAACATTCCTGAACTCTGCTGAGCAGATGGGTCAAGGGTAGGGAATGGAGGAGAAGTTTGATTTGGTTGGGGCTATGCTCAGTGGTAGAACTTTCTTGCACACACAAGGTCCCAGGTGCGATCCCTGTCATCTCCAGGTTGAACGAGAGAGACCTCCTGCAAGTCAGTGACCAATTGGTCTTGGCCAGTTGGTCTTGACTCCCAGTATAAGGCAGCTGCTTATATTCCTATGTCTTTAGCGATTGCCCATAACTCAGTGGCCAGAGAATCTGGTTTGTATTGTTATAGATCAGGGGGGAGGGAATCCCCCTGAACCCTAGAAATTAATAAATACCAGGGTTTTGATTAATTGGGATATGGATTAAAGTGCAGACCGGTGCCAGATGGGGAATTCTGGGAATTCCTGGGCTGGGTTATGCAAACCAGCCTGGCTGGCTGAGTGAAGAGCAAGCCTGTTAACATGAGAAAACGTGTTGATGGGCCATTGGGCAGGGAGACTGAAATATACTCGGAGTCGAAAGTGGATTTCATGCTCTTTATTCAGCTCATGGTGGTGAGGAGGAATGGAAGTTCCCCCAGAATGTCTGCTTTATATACATTATTTACACAATGGGCCGCACGTGATTGGCTAATTCCAGGATTCTCCTGTAGGCCAATCAGGTTGCAGATTCACTTCCACCTGGAGCTGGATTGGGTGGCTCCTG